ATGGAGACAGTACCGCGAGTTATAGTCATTGATATAGAAGTTCAACAGCCCGCCAACCAAGTTGAAGGGAGGAAACAACACTGAGAAGATCCAGCCCGTTATTTCCGGATAGGAAAATGACGTCACCATATCCACCACGTCAAGTAGTCGGTATGGGAGGATGTAAAGGAGGAAAGCTTCCAGGACGACAGAATAAGCGCCTTTAAAACAGGAAATCTTATTGGAGCGACATCTGTCCGAATAAGGATTTATTTACGATTTTAAATTGTGAAATGAGCATGTAACAAAGATAGCCCATATACGATGCTTGAAGTAAAAAATGTATGTAGAAAATACGGACTTGACTTACAAAACTACGTCGGGTTGAAATTTACTTGTTTTAACGAGAGCAACGTTCTAAATGTGAGTCTATCATGATTGTTTCATATAAAAGTGGGATTTTCGGTAAGAACTCTATGAAATAAATCTACTGAGTGGGTGCTCACACACATTACATATTTGGGTCTTAGCATTTCAATTTAGTTTCAAAAGGGGGAGCTTATACGTCTTTGTGGAAATCAAAACATGGGAATAAAAATGAACTTACCTATTGTTGTAAACGTAATCATGATGTACGTCGAGGCCTTCAGACCAGTTTCAAATTTAAACGACAGCAAGTAGGTCAGTGGCAGAGTGGCCCATCCGAAAAGCACTACCAGAATGATTAGTGTTTCTTGTTGTCTGTCGGCTATGTACAAGGGCCATGTCTGTCCAGCTAATACCAAACCAATCACCGATATGACAGGTACCGAATAGATCATTATATCCCAACAACATCTGGACAACCAGTACGTCATACCCGTTGAGCCGGACACGAAGAGCAGAAGCTTGGTCTCGTTGGTGCGTTCCTCAACAGGGCTGATAGCGAAGGAGCCAAGAAGTGCCGACATCACAAACAGGAAAATGCACGTGTAAGTCACGCTGATCAAAGGGGGCCACCACTTCCATGAATCATTTCCACTGTCGTCATCTTCGCCATCCATTAGATCGTTATCCATGTGGCGACTATACGATGGCAGAGGGTGGTTGTTGACCGATATGGAGTACTCGTCTCCGGCAAGGTACCTCAGCAAGGCGTTGTTGACAAGGTTGAGCGCTAGTGGCATGCTATGATAGGCGTAGCCGTTGTAAAGTCCCGTGCTTATGTGGTATCCATCTTCGTCAATTTCATAGCTTACTCCAATCATATACTCATTTGCAAACTGGACCGAGTCGATTTTACGCTGCGTGTCCAGCAAGAATTGGTCCACAGTTTGGTTCCATGATGGAGACTTGGTAACCGTGGCCACCACTTTTCTGTACACCCTTGAGATGTTCTTTGACCATGGAGAGTCATCAGTTTCCACTGTCGCGATGAAAGGATCTTTGGATGTACTATTCATTACGTGGATGGTAATTGGAAGATCTATGCTGTTACCAGCTATAAGACCAGCCAGAGCGGACTGAGAGAAGCCTTCAGGGTTGCAGGAGGTCAGCAAAGCGACGATCACCAGTAGTATAATTTGGGAGCACGTGAGCCAACGTCTGCGCCACGAGACCAGTGCATGGACGCAGAACATGCTGAAAAACTCGTGCAGCTGGTGGACCAAACCCAAAGGAAGTATTCTGAACTTGCGCCGACCCAGCTTTTTCCCTGAGAAATGAGGAACGCAAGTTTAGGTAAATCGGCTGTGTGTTGCATATATTAATCGTAAGTGAGAAATGCGTTACATTGTACCTTAATGTAACAAAGCGTATGATTTTAAACACGTTTTTTCACTTTACATGAAAAACAAAAAACACATCGAACTGAACTTATCTAAAGATAAGTGATATTTCTTAAACATTTAAACAGTTAAAGGCCTTGAATTAATGTCGCCAAAAAGAATTCAGTTCATCACTTCTTGACGAACTCCTGTTGCCTGCCACAATTTAGAATCGCGCGCAATATGGAAGTGAGTACTGAAAGTTATGGTGAAATTTTAAAACAAATACGCTTATTTTTTTATTTCCTCAGACTGGTAGAGAATTGCGGCGAGTATCAGGAAAGATGGATTAAATAATGGTTATAGTCTTAGAAAAATACCGTTCACTCTCTGGGAAATCAGTGCTTAAAGCTCCCTTTACACTGGACGGCGTCCTTTCTGCCTTCTATATTACAGCCCTGTTCTGTACATGCCGACAACTGGCTGACCATTGAGCATTCTATCTGCACCCTAAGCAATGCTTGTTTCACCTTTCTACGACCACAGTGATGCCAGCTTCATGGTCGCACGATAGACGCAGAAAGGACGCCGTCCAGTGTAAAGGGGGTTTAAGTATGAATATTTCACGAGGAAATCTTACGCTGGGCACCTTTGACTTAAATCCACGAAAACTATCTGGGTTATGTTGCATATAATAGGTAATACATCAAATACAGTAAAATAATAAATTGCTGTACGCTGAGCATATATTTTATTTTTTCCAGTCCATTCCCTTTTTGAAAAATTGCTCATAAGAATGAACGTTATATGTATTGGCACCATTTGCAGAACTTCCACAGGAGTGGCGGTCTGCAAGAAAATTCTAGATTCCAAACGACCATCATCATCATCATCATCATCTTTATCAGCATCATCGTCATCATTATCAGCAGCAGCCTCATCATTTTGTCTGCCGTGTACTTACGCGTGAGAAGCCGGGATCCACTCTGTGTTAAATCAAAGGAAGTGGTACTAGCCGAGGTGGTTTTCATCTCAGATTCCCTAGCAATTCTAGTCAAGAAAGATTTTCACAACAGATATACATTTATATTGTATATTTTCATGTATCTTAAATGACAAGATGATAGCATAATATTTATTTTCGTTCGAGGAAAAGGACTAAACATAATCTGATTCAACATGTGTACACAAATAGTTTTCGATGCAAGAATGTACAAAATGTACAAACGCGAGAACACTGAAACTTGACAAATACTTAAAATTCCATGTTCAATACAGGCAGAGCGTTTAAAAGTAGGGACACTACTTCAGACAAAAGTAATTATTATTCAAGTACCGTAAATATAATTCATCAAGGGTTGCAAGGCTTATTCCAAACGAAGACACTCCAAAGGCAGCTTTTTCTTCTTCCAATTGCTCGAAAACTGCTGCAAACTTCGGTGATTGGGATCTCGGTAATGAAATTCTTATCTCGGACTCTGTTTCTGACATAATTCGTGCACCTTCTATACCGTCTTCAATTAGCTGTTTAATTGTTTCAGATCGACAAAAGTTGGTTTTCACCAAACGCAGAACGTACGTTCTTTCTGAAATAAAACATAACGAAATAAAATAAAGTAAATATTATACTGTTTGTTGCGTTGTTTATCGTTCTGACCGTAGTAAAAAAGGCAGATTCACAGATATGGAAAATACAACAAGAGACAGTGGCCCATCAAGTATCACCCCTAAGTTACTGAGAGAAGAAGCAATCGGGTGTTTCAAGAAACAGTACTGGTTAATGGACTTGGTAGACCTTGGTCAGGTCTTAAACCCTCGGACATGACCGCCAGTGGGGGACAGATGGTGCAATATTCTACAACGCAGCACTACCGCGACCCCGGAGAGTTTCGGGACTGACTTGATTGCGCTAGATTTGATGAGGTAAGATTTGGTAAGATGATACAGAGAATCATAAGGAGCAACCCCAGTGCTGTAATGTCACATCTTGACCACTAGCGCGCATGCAGTCGTGTTTATACTGATGACGATCTCAGGACAAAAGTTGCACTGTAATTGCTACATTGCACCTTAGCTTCATCAAACGGCCCAGCGGAAGATGATCGAATCAAGAAGGAACGTCCTATCCTCGATGTAAACGCAACATTTGCATGCGTGTTCTTCATTTTGCTAACAAAGAACCACACCCGATTTATATTCCACACTTGAGATCATGGTGAACATTAGCAACATCCTACCATATTTTTCCTCTAACTCCGCTATGGTGCCACAAGCCACTAGAGATCCCTTCCTTAGAACCCCAATGCGGTCAGCCAGGGCCTCCGCCTCTTGCATACTCTGTGTACTGAGAACTATCACAGAACCCGCTTGCTTAGACTGGTTAATGGCCTCCCATGCACGGTGTCGCATGCACGGGTCCATATTTTGAGTCGGTTCGTCTAAAGCTATTACCTGAAATAATATAACCTTTTGACATGCCCCTGGGTGAAGTACGAATGTAAGCCTTAACAAGCCTAGACAGGATACTAGGTTTTGTACAGATAAGGTCCCATTTATTTGCCTGATAAACTGATGAGAAAACTTCATGAAATACTCTCAAAAACCTAAAGAATACTAGCAAAAAGTCATTAAATACTCTCTTACTTCTCAAACGTCAAACCAAAAACATCCTCGTCTTTGCATTTGTGATAATGCCTTACGTCATATGACGATGTCATTAACGACGTCATTCACTTTCAACCAAAAGACCTACCTTTGGGTTTCCCATAAGCGACAAAGCCAAAGAAAGGGCGCTCTTTGAGACAGTGGAGAGAAATTTCACTCTTGTATAACGATTGTTTTCTAGATTCAGCAAGTCCAGAAGATGGCTTAGCTGTACTTTTATATCTTGGCTTTCCATACGGCGAAGCTGAAAATAAATGCAAAAAACCATAACGACTGTTAAAATTCAGCCTGTTGAAGTGGCTGTATGTTGTGTGTGTGTGTGCTTGTGTGTGTGTGTGTGTGTGTGTGTGTGTAAAAGAGAGAGAGAGAGGAATCAACAAGTAGTCACTTGTAATAGATTGCAAGGAAAGCTATGCATCATCTGGAATATTAAAACATTGCACATAGGCCGTGATTTCTATAACTGAACCACACACGTAATACGTTTTGTAGTATGCTTGTATTTACGGTGCCAAACTGGCATATCTCACCTTAGCAATAAACACCAGATGCTGTTCCACAGTGAGAAAATCAAACAACGCCGACTGCTGTCTGCACAGACCGATACGATCCCTAATGGCTGAGATATCTTTTGGTGCTGAGCCGGGGGCACACGTGAATACTTCCAGACGTAGGCTGGAGCAAACCTGAAAAAATCAGTTAATAAGACAAAAGAAATCACACAAGTGTTATTTTTTAGTATGCGGTATATATACGCATTGGGCCATCTCAATTTTATTCGCAGTTCCTAACTCCAAGTTAGATCTGCAAGTGAGGTCCCATTGA